GTTCCCTTTCATTTTTCAGCTAACGTTGTCAACTCTACCTTCAGCACACCTCACCAAATCCAGAACAACTCAGCAACTTTCATATTGAGATAATGTGTCAGAAACAAGTTGCCAATAATAGAGCCATAGGCCTGTACATTATGTTGCATGTTCTAACTGAATTAGATTTATTGTACTGAGAAATAGATCTGACTTTTATAATAATTAAGCAATTAAAAGTAAAATCAAATAAATGGTACTGGGCCTAATTCAAGCCACAAGTTCTCAGTCAGTTCATCACCATGTAGGCAAAAAAGTTAGAAACTGAAGACAAATCTGAAATCATTTTCTTTTTTTCCTTTTAATGGCCACTAAAAGCGCTAGAGCAAAATTAAACAATTAAAATAAAAATAAAAAAGAAAGAAAAGAAATAGCATCAAAAGAATAGCATCAAATGCATTTCGAGCCAAGAAAAAGAAAAATCATAAATGAACTGAACACTTACACGAGTGGATGTGCAGGCCTTGAGCAGAGGAGCTCCTGTCTCAGCGTGCTCCATGTGAACACAGAGCTGCGCGCCGCCGCAGCACTGGTTTAATTGGGAACAGGCTGGGCTGTATGCTAATGAGCGCTGACATCAGTGCTAATGGCCCGCGCTCCATAAAAGAGCGGAGCAAAAGGCCAAAGTCGCGCTTCTATTCCCAGGCAATTCCTGCGGTCAAGTTCAAGCGCATGCAGCCGGCCAGCGATTGTCATTCAGAGCGCAGCTCGGATCATTCAAAGGCCAAGGCTCTACGTCCACACACCCCGTCCACAAACCGGACTACAGGAATGTGTTGGCCTGCTAATATAAAGGATTGCCCTATTAGCCTTGATAATCGTTTTGAAACCAAGTCAATTTTTAAATACAATCCAGTGACCAATAGTTAGAGTTGCAATTAGTACATTCCGATGACAACTGGCATTGCCTGTAACCTGCAGGGAAGGGAGGGCCACGTAGATATGAGAGAGAAATTGTTCATGTGTCCAGGATGATTACCATTATATGTGCACAAGAAGCACCCATGCATCTGCAAACTGTATCATACCTGACTCTGAGACAGAATCCATGGTGTATTTCCCCCAAAGTGTGGTGGTTTGTGTCAAAATGAAGGGATGTCAAGAAACTGATGTGACTAAAGGACTGTAAACTCATAAAAGCCAGGTCAAATGTCTATTTATGTAATAGGTTTGTCTGCACAAGAAACAGTAGCATGCATTTGAATATATATCTATTTAAACTATATGTGCCTGTGTCCAAAACAGAGCACAGTGGTAATATGGATTTCTTTTTTCTTTTCTTTTTCTGATGTGGTGAAATGAAGTGAATTATGAAGGTACAATATAACATAATTTACTTGTTTTATTGTTTTGTAAGAAAAATAAGGTTAAAATGCACTGTCTGAACACACACACACACACACACACACATTAAAAATGTATTGCACTACAAAAATGTACCTTTTGTTCCACATAAAAATCATCCCTGTGCGGTAGTCTTCCGCCTTGGGCTGTTCCCACACTGGTTCCCACACTGAGAAGAAGCATCACAGTAAGACAAAGGGGAAAAGAGCGGGATACTTGAATGAGAAGAGACCGTGGAGCTGAAGTCTCCTTTGACAGGGCACCACTGCAGTATTTGCATATATTCAAATAGGGACATGAATAGCATGCATTGAGCAAACAAAGACCGTCCAATAGGAAGGCTGCATGTTCTCAGTATCCCAGCAGCCACTGGGGCAGACTCAGGGACGTGCTGTGGGAACCAAGGGGCACCCCCAAGCCCACCTCGAGGAGGGGAACTGCTTTGAATTAGCATTTTATTTGTGTCCATTTGAGCCATCATTTTTGTCTCTTCGCCACAGCTACAGATGGCTAACATGTCACAAGGATTATCTCTCAGCATAAAAGTGTTTTATGAAAACATGATATGATCAAAGAGCACAAATGATGAGCTACTGACGCACATTTAGATATGTACACCTATTGCCTTTACAGTAAATCTTATAACAGTACATTGTACTAAATCAACTGATCTCATTTACCAACAGAACTGTCTTCAATCACAAATCTGAATTATTTTCAGCCAATGTCATATATAAGTTGATGTCCTAGACCTTTCTCATTTCATCCAATGGTTTTATTATAATAAATATGATATAATAAATATTATTTACAAATTATTTAGCATATCTAAGGAAAGATACAGCAGAGGAGCTTAAACAGAGGTGGGGATTTTAGGGACTTTTTTGTATATTTCACACTGACTGCTATATTGTCTGGTGCTTTACATAATATTGTGAGATGCTTGTATGTGTGATGTTGCTGTTCCCCCTTGTTCCACTACAATTAACAAACTAGATTAGTGCAACTTTAGGGGGGAAAATAAATAAATAAATAAATAAATGTATCTTAATTAACCTATTGAAAATCACATGAAGCATATCATGTAGTAATTTTTCTTATTTCTGTCAAATCCATGTCCAAAAGATTCTACCTTTACAAAAAAGAAAAGAAAGAAAAAGAAAATCTGAAATCACATTTCCCTATTTTGGTAGATACTGCAAGCTTTATTATATCATAGCTAAAATGTATTAAACCTAATTGTTTCAAATTTCACTGCCTCAAAGAATGAAGCTAAACTCATTCCTCTCATCGAAATATGTCCCACACTCGGGGATCAAACACATCTGCTGCAGAGGGGGCGCATGCAATTAGCAAAAAGTAGGATTCAGTGAAAACAGAAGACCACCCAAAAACATGAACACACATGCTAAACTCAGATTTGAATACTCTGAATGGATTTGTGCTAAAAGATCTTTGGAAATCATGTTGATGAAAACATTTAGCTCAGTTGGACACTTCTGCTCAGAGGATGAGCTGACATTATAAATGCAGGTCCAGATCGACATGTGCGACCATTTTCTACTGTGTGATCAAGCATGCCACACAAGAAGCACTGTATTTTACCTAAAGCCCTCACTGGTCACAGACAATAACTTTCTTTCTTTCTTTTTTTATTTACTAAGAAAAAAGGGAATCCAAAATAATTTAACCTCTTTGAATCCCATAAATTTAGTAAAATAGTGTAAAGGTTATAATTGTTGCATAAACTTTTTTGAATTAGCTGTAAAATACAGACATCTATAGAAGCTGACTTCTACACTGTAGGCTGTAAAGTATAGAATGAGGTTTTGGATCAATCTACTGGGACATGGAATACAGGACTCAAAACTGGGATTGTCCAGGTTAAATAGGGACATCTGGTCACCTTAGTTTAAGTTACACACCTACACATATTGCATTAAAATGTGTGACAGAGTTATCATTTTGGGGTGGTTGAGATGAAAACTGTAAATAACCTGCTAATCCACACATGAGACTTTAAAAGGTTAAGGAAAAGTAATAACACTGATATCAAAACAACTCATGGAGGAGGAGAAGATGTGGAGAAGAAGAGGTTAGAAACACAGGAGGAGCAGGAGGAAAAGAAGAGTTGAAAGAGTGAATGCAGACAGGCAGAGGTCAAGTGATAGCAGAGAGGGAACTGTGCTTTTTAACAATCAATCTAATGACTTAGAAGTGACTGCATTATAAAGTATGGTTAGTGTGAAACATGTAGCATTAAATTTCCAAAGCATATTTGTTATATTGGTTTGCAATTTTCAATATCTTTAATTCTGTTCATGTTGCATAAAAAGAAAAAGAACCTAATTTGAACTGACTTTGAACTTCGACTGGAAAAACACTGTAGGTCTGTATGTAGGTCTATATATTTTTGTGTGTCTGGTAGGGTTGAAAACAGCAACTTCCGGAAATTGTATTTTATTTATTTAAACAATTATTTATTTAAACATGTATTGTAAACATGTGTTTTTTATGTAAAACCATGTGTCCCAGTTTTATCCCCACTATGTAAAGAGAGCAGTAAATTGTAATTTGTTTAGCTAAAATATAGAAAACCATTCTTGAAAATGAACATAAGGCAGGAAAATGCACAACAGATTATCTACTGATCCACAAGTGAGGTGAGAATGGACAATGTTGCTTGCTCTTTTCACAATTTTATTCATATGGGATGGGACCAACCATTCCAACCTGGGCATGTTCCAGTTTTTAATTTTGAAAATCTAGTCACCTTAACAAAATTTTTAATAATAAAACTTAAATGAAATGGCTACTTTTAGACAGAGGTTACTACAATCAAAACTAAAGTATTATACTTTATAAAGGCCCATGTCCTTAATGAGACTTTTGGCATAAATCATAGGATCTGTTATATAAAGTGACTATATCACTGAGTGATTTTGATTTGCCATTCATAAATCTCTCAACATTTGACTGACTGGGTAGTGTTAATGTTATGCTATGCCCTGGCAACAATGTTAGTAGAAACCTACTTAGTTCTCCTACCTTATTAAAGAAAAACAAAAGGTTCAGTGCAAAAAGACTGCACTGAACTTTTGCTCTGGTCTGTTCTAAAGGCATTAGACTGGATTTTCATAGAATTTGTTTTGATTCAATGAAATGATAATTTCATTGAAATATAGAGATTAGGAAAGTCACTGAAGCAGTCAGGGCTACTGAGCAAGAGAAACAAACCAGGACAGTGGATATGGTGTTAGTCTGCATTAATATGTAGGCTAGTCTAGTTAACGTTTTAATTTGTGCATGTACACCATTGTAATTACAATAAATATAATTGGTGGTAAACATGTTAATCTTGATTTATGTGTAGTCATATAAGATAGTTTTTATTATTTTGTTACATTTTGACAAGTTTAACATTTGTATAAAGGAGCTACATTAGAGGCCCATTCTTTTTACTTACGCTGTTGCCGTATCAAAGCGTTGTCTTGTGGACGTGAGCCATAGATCTATTAAAATAAGTGAGCACGGTCTCTTGAAATCACTGTGCTCTTACTATGGAGAGGCTTAAAAAAATCCCATGTTTAGAGCGGCCCCTGAATGCAGCGCAGGGTAGTACATCCGGGACATTGCGGTCTCACATGTCAGAGCCTCAGCTGTCAGGACTCCTTCATGTGGAGAACTGTTCCCGTGAAAACACTGACCTTTTGGAGAACACATGGTATGTTTACGTCTGTACAGCTTTACTATCTATTGTTTCAAGCCACAATTTTCATGCGATAATGCTTAGATTTTACTGTAAATGCTGTTAGCTAATGTAGTCTAGCTAGCTTACACAGAGCTAAACCAAGCTTGCAGCACTGACAGGTGGTGAAGTTAGGCTAAATTTAGCACAACAGAACATAGCTAACACATAGTTAGCTTTCATTCATTGCAAAATTTCTTTTAAACCTGTATTTGATGTGATTAACTGTGCAATTGTGTTATGCATATCGGTTAATTATTATTGTAGAAAGTAATGTGCATTTTATTTTTCTTTGATACTTTCCTTTATTAATATTTAAATAGAATTTTGTTAATTTTGCTTTGTTTACATTATGGCATTACTACACCCAACCCCAGTTGGAGTGATAGTTCTAAACACCATGTATTTTGTATTAACCTTTTCCAAGTTCTGCCATACACACTAAAGCATAATTAAAGTTTCGTTAACCATCTATTGTAGTTTCATGCTTAAATATGCTTATGTGTATTTTAATAGGCGTTGATGGGGATCCAGTTGGTGGTCAGCTTGCTGGCTGCCAGTATCATGCAGAGGATGGCTCCTCACTGCTCATTTGCGCGATGGCTTCTCTGTAACGGCAGGTACTGTCTCCTTCACATCTGGTCACATCACATAACCAAAGCTGTCTATTTATCCACCTGGTGTTATGTTTTTGTTGTCAGCTTGTTCCGGTTCAAACACCCTTCAGAGGGAGAGCTGTGTGCGCTGGCAGGGAAACAGATGCCCAAACCAAACAGGAGAGACAGGTGGGATGGGGGGAGGGCTCGGCAGTGCTGGGTCACATCACAGTAATTTAGAGGATGATGTTTTATCTAACACCTCGTCACATTTCAAACATATGTTAACGCTTTAGTATGAACTAAAACCTTGTTGTCTTGTCTTACTCCAGGAGGCAGAATGGTGAAAGTAAACCACTAACTGTGCCTAAAGATATCGACCTTCACTTGGACAAGGCCCCAGTCAATGTTATGGATGCCCTTGGTAAAATAGATGCACTTTAAGTAAATGTACACCACGTGATATTGGGCAAAACATTACTCTATTATGGCTTACTTATGTGAACCATTTTTACACATTTTCCATTTAGCTGCTATTGGCAAGTTTGATGTCTTTTTTAAAAACCTACAAATTGTTTGTTTTATTTTCAGTGCTGCGCTTCTTCCTGGAATACCAGTGGCTTGTAGATTTTGCAGTCTATGCAACTGGAGTGTTTATTTTCACTGAGTGCTACTACAGTGTTGTAGATGCCAGCAAAGAGGTCAACATTGGGGCCATCTGGTGTGTTTTGACAGTTCTCTTTGGCCTGTATCCTTTTCAATAATACGTCATCATTTTAAGTCTTTGTAAATCATAATTCTAAATCCATCCATCTATTTTCTTCCGCTTATCCGGGGCCGGGTTGCGGGGGCAGCAGTCTAAGCAGGGACTCCCAGACATCCCAGAATTCAAAATATAAATGAAAAAAAATAATGCAGAAAAAAATAAAAGCTGTCTAAGTTAAACATTTCAAACCAGACCATTCCTTAACTTCTAATTTCAAGAAAAACTCTTCACACTTTGATGAGTCACTACTTTAGCTCAGAGGAGGGAGGTGAGCGCTCTGTGTGCCTCGCCTTTGGTTTTCTGTCTTTGCTGGTGGCCATGTTGGTTCTGGTGGTCAGAGAAGATTACCTGGAATTTGGACTTGAGCCAGGATTCAACAGTCTGTTCAGCAACCTGGAAGTCTTTGTGAAGCAGCAGGGTTATGCCGATTGGTCGTACGTATCTAGCAAGCAACAGCAACAGGTATGCCTGGGTTATCAAATCGTATTGTAATGATTTTTTTACCTACAGAGTCCCAGTAACCAAGCTTACAGTGAAGCTTGGTCTAGCTGCTGTGTGTGCCTACATTGGATCTCTTTTGGCTTTTCCTGGACTTAGACTGGCTCAGACCCATCTTGATGCTGTCCAGATGAACTCAGATCGACCAATAATCCAGTAAGAACAACCAGAACCAGATATATTATTTAACTACTTGCTTCATCAGTAACATGCAATTGATTTACATAGGATTCTGCTGCACATGAGTTTCATGTCCCCAGTCATTGTGTTGATCCTGTGGGTGAAGCCTATTGCAAGAGACTTCCTGGCCAATGCACCAATGGGAAAGACCTCTATTACAATGTAAGAGCAAAGCCATTTAAAAAGTTTTATACTGACTATAAAAGAGATCACTTATAGCCATGTTTGGTTGTTTCTTTTGCAGAGTGTCTAGTTCAGCCTTTGACAGTATGCGTTTGGGGATCATTGTGGCTCTCTGCGTGCTGCGGTTGGCCCTAACCCGCCATCACCTCCAGGCTTACCTCAACATTGCACAGAAGTGGGTGGAGCAAATGAAAAAGGAAGCTGGACGCATTGCTGCTATTGACATTCAAAGGAAGGTCAGGGCTATTATGGAGTATTTTTGTACTACTTCAATGATAAGAAATGCTAACCATGTAAATTGCATCCTATTTTCTTTTAGGTTACTCGAGTGTTTTGCTACCTGACAGTAGTGACTCTGCAGTATCTGATTCCCATATTACTGATTCTCTTCTCCACTTTGGCTCTAAAGGCACTGGGTATGTATATTTGATGCACCTAGAATACTTAGTCTGGTTCTTTAGATACATTTTTTACATTGGAAGAGCTGTTATGACATGTATCTAATTGCATATGAAATTGTAATATGTTTAATGCATGTTGTTGTCATATTAAGTAACTGTAAATGTTGTCCTCTTTGCTACAACTACACATTTTGAATAGAGCTCACCATCTTATTCCAATACTGGTAGTTGAAAGTGTCAGTTGTGTTCATAAGTTCCTACCTTGTTGTCTTTGCCTGTAGGAGACTTCTCGTGGACCCCTGGAGCAGAGCAGGCCCCTGGTGTGACCCCAGCTCTGGTCTTACCCACAGCAGTGCCTGTAGTGTCTGGGGTCCTGGAGGAGGATGAGGAGGGGGTGGACTACATGGAGGAAGACATCCAGGCTACAGTGGCCCGCCTGTCTGAAACTTTCACTGCCCTTCGATCTGTGCTCACTCCGCTGTTTTTCAGAGGCTTCTTTGCTTTCCTCACCTGGTGGGTCGCTGCCTGTCAAGTCCTCAGCTCACTCTTCGGCATCTACTTCCACCAGTACCTCATGCACAGCTAAATGTGATCAATAAAAGGACTAATGGTTATAAAGAAAACCTAATATAACTGCTTAAGATGCTGTTTACATATGCAGCTATACATTTCTGAACTTGTGCCATCCATCACCCAGACTTCCTTCTCCTCAGATTCTTCCTACAACTACTACAAAGGGATGCTGCATGCCAAGAAGGACTAGTTACTACTAGTATTTGCCAATATATATTATTCAACCATATGTAACTACATGAAGGGTTTTCAACATGGCGGAAAAGTAAGATACATTCACAAAGTGCGTTAATAAAAATATAAATCTCAGTTTTTCATTAGTTCATCTTAAATATGACTCAACAGTGGCCATGTTTACATGCATTCCAAAAATCTGAGCTTTATCTGATTTCAGGAGTTATCAGATTATTGAAATGTCATGTAAACATCTCAAAGTTCTTGTCACACTCAAATGACCAGCAGGCAACTGGTTAGAAATAAAAGTGACTGTGATTATTTATGAAACTTTTCTACTGCTTTTAAAATTAGGTGTTTACCAGCATTTCTGAATCGCTTGGTAAAAAATCTTAAATGCTGCGTTATTGCTGTACAGTTTGGTGTGAAATACCTGTTTGGAGTTGAAGACATTTAATTGTAATTGGGGTACTTTTTTTTACCCCTGTGTAGATATTACGGGAGAGATTCCTGATCTCTCCAAAGAAACCGATTCAAGAGTGCTAAAAGTTTGTTTTTAATGTAAAGTTTTAACTGTAGTAACTGTAGGGGACTGCATGACTGAGCGTGTTTCTTAACAGTCAGAATGCCAAGATGAATAGTGTTTTGTTTTTTGTTGTTTTGGTTTTTTTTTTTTTGCGGGGGGGGGGGGTTGCATTTTGCTTTATTTTTTTCTTAGTTTTTCTAAGTGCCTCCAGGCTCAGGGATTGTGTATAAAATCTCACTTCATTGTACTCATAATTTATGATGGATAATAGTTTTTATGCTAAAACATGTTAAAGCATGTAATCATGAGTTTGATCAATGTGTAACCTTTATAATTTTAGCAACACAATTTGTTTTTATATTTAATGACATCTTCACATTTGTATTATTAGTAGTTGTTAAATTGACATGTTTCTTCTTGTACTGAGACTGTTTCATGAAGTGTTTCCATTCTATTATTTTTTGAATGCATGGCGTGAACTTGGTTATAATCTTAAGGTTTTATTAGTGTGGCATAATAATAAAAAAGACATTTTATCATTTAACATCTTGGAGCTATTAATATGTCTCGACTTAATGCAGTCTTCACTCCAGAGCGTGGGAGATCCCTGTGCTCGAGGTGTCTGGACTGGCTGACAAAAGTCGTGCATGACAATAGTGTCTGGTGGTTTGACCTCTGCCCCAGCTCTGTGGAAGTTTATTCTTTAATCACTTATAATTACTGTGAACTCAGTGCTCTCCTGGACTGTGGGAAGAACTGAGCTGTTAAATGTTCCCAAAGTTGTTAAATTAATCCCAAAGATAAAAATCATATTATTTTGTTTAATAAATCTGAGGAATAGGCCTACTCTTATTTTAATTGTTATGAGTTAGAATGTTTCTGAACAAGCTGTTCAAAAAAATATTAGTGGTTTCATTACGTTACTTAAAGTAATAGTTGATTAATAATAGTAAAAGCAGGAGGCAAACAGTTCAGTAATGATGTTGGTAGTAGTAAGTTGTTATACTACTTGTAATATTTGCATGCGATACATTTGCATTTATTGAAGTAGTGTTAACCTTTTCAGAGTTACAGTATTATACAGACGAAACAGTAGTCTATACTTTTACTTGAGTATTTTTTCATCTGTATTCATTATCTGTCCTGGAGGCCTCTTTGGACCGCTGCACGGACCACAGGCCTGGTGTGTGTGGGACTCAGACACAGGACGTCCCATGGGAGCTGCCCAGACATGACCCCCAGTCTGACTCTTTTCATTTACGGAGCAGTAGACGACAGAGACACGGGACTGCGCAGGCATCCTCTCTGCTCTGTGCGCCTGGTTTTGATAAAATGACAAGGAAAACCAAACGCACCATAGGGGTAGGAACACCATCACCACTGACACAGAGGCAATGTAAAGGCCCTTTAAAGTGGTCCATTTTTTGTTCCTCTCATTGGCTGGCAGCATAGCAGGTTGCACTGACAGGAGCCAGACATGATAATGAGAGCAAGTGTGCAGAGAGCAAAGGTGTGTAGCACTAAATAAATGGACACATGAAAGTGTGATAGCCGCACAGTGGACATCATTTAATCTGTGCTCACATAAAAGAGCAAACAGCAGCTCCGGGAGACACAATTTACCTCAAAGACACACAGGAATGACAGTGTGAAACAGGAATTTACCAATCAAACTCTTTTTTAATTGAAGCAATCACATCAAATGAGCCTAAAATGAAAAACACACTGTCACACATAATACTGAAAATAGTCAAACAATAATTAATAACAGCATCATTATTTTAGACAGGCCTGTGTGAGGAGCAGCTTGATAGATTTTTGTGTGAAAGCTCAAGCCAAGTCTGGTCACACAGTTTCTCATTGAACCATTTATTATCTCAGCTACAATGCCTAATCTACACCAGGGTCCCTCTTGTGACAATAGTAGAAACACAAATCCTTATATTACAAAATTGTATAACACATAAGAAACATAGCAAACATAGATAATTTAGCTGTAATTTATTAGCCCTTTTGAAATAATTTTATATTAAAACTACAGCATAATGTGTAATCAGCTTCAAGGCAAAAGCAAGAGAACATAATCTCACAAAATTAATAAAATCAACTATTCTAGATGATCCTCCTGATATCAGTCAAAGTCATGGCAGGTTTGCTGAAGTAAAAGAGGAAGAGAGTGAAATGAAAAAGCAACATTGTTAAATTGCATACTTCTGCAAACCTTACTAAGATAGTTGCAAATAAGCGCCATTTACTTATTTTGGTATTTTGGTGAACCAAAATTAACAGTTTAGTTTGATCTTGTGGTTTGTGTTTGGTTAAGTAGGAATATTGTATAGCCTACTAATCCAGCATTAAACATCATTAAACATTATTAAACATTAAGAAAAAAGATACTTTATTCACTTGATTGACTTGTATTCATGTTTCCCTGTGGTGCTTATATGTTCTTGCTGCTTATATGTGCTTATAGAAGAAAGAGAAACACGAAAGCATTTGTGTCAATGTAATGCATGGGTAAAGGTTTGTGAATAGGTCTGAAGAGAAGGCATGTATATGATTGGGAGTGATGGTACTATGCCGCCATGTCTAATTGTTAGCAAAAACTTAACAAAGAAAGGTGTTTAACTCCTTTGAGATTATTAAAAACACATACTTATCTATCTCCATTATTAATCCAAAACAGTAAAAAAAAATCTCCACTGAGAGACCAGCTCTATTTTTTACGTCCAAGCTGTGGACTATTTGTTACCACTGCACTCCATCTGTGTGAGAGCAATGGCATAACTGAATATAGCTATCTCTGCCAAGTGTCACTTAGCTCCATTGGTCTGAGCATCTCCTCCTCGCTGTGGGCGTGACCTTTGGAGAGCTCCTTCATCTGATTGGCCGGTTGTGTGTGTGGTGGGCTAGGCCGAGTGGAATCAGGGTTGCTGATTGGAGAGCGGTCTTTGAGCTGGAGCAGAGGAGAAGAGGAAGGCGAGGACATGTGGTCTGGTGAGGTGCGCTCCGATTTGATGCTGCGGTTCAGAGAGGGCAGGTGTGGGGAGGTGGAGGAGCAGGGCTGAGACGGAAAAGAGCACCCTCCACTGGTCATCCTAGGAACAGCAAGAAACATTCAGATGTGACATTTATTTTGAACTAATCCAATAGTGTATAACTAATGATAGATCTTATTTTAGGGCTTGTTCATAGAAGTATAATTCCATCTCTGAATGGTCATTGTGTACGTGACTTCACCACTTTGCCTATGGACATGAGTTTTGTATGTGAGTGAGTTATTTGTGGTGGTCAGAGGGAAGCCATGGCAAGAAAACAGCTTATAAAATTATATGGTCAATGGTTGCTAGAAATGTTATAGTTTTAGTTATACATGATTAACTATTTAACTTGTGCGCATTTTACAGAACTTTACCATCTAATGTGTATCCCACTTAAGGTCCACAATAACAGTGATATGATCCTTGATGAAGAGATTTTATATAGATTTTATATAGAAATTATATTTTAAGAAGGATTTCAGCGTTAAAAATCTTAAAAATGAATGATTTATGGCAAAAGGAAAGTATGTGACGTTAAAACCTGTTTACATTCCAAAAATCCTGGAATGTCTTGTTTAATTCAGACTTTGTTAGTATTTCTGGATTCCTACCCCGAACTTATATGATTCCCATGGGTGTCTTGCAGAGGCTGTGATGTTTGCCATTGGTTCACTGCTGCTCGCTGTAGACTGTGATACAATCCAGACTGGTATTCTGCAAGAAAATATGTAATTTAAATACATAGAATAATTGTCATCTGACTGCACTATTTACATTAATTGAAAGGTTAGGTATTGAATATGGAACATACCAGATGCTGTAGGGGAAGACATGCCGTACCCTCCCATGCTGTGGCCTAAAAGTCCTGTTTTGCCCATAGCCACAATGGATCCACCTGAATGTAAGCCCTGGTATAAGTGACCCCTCTGGTGGCCGCAAAAAGAACAACAGAGAGATGAAACGCCTGGGGCTAAGTTGATGTATTGAAGAGATGTAAAGAAAGACAAACTATTGATAATTGATAAAATAATGTTGTAAAGCTGCTCCAACTTCCATTTGTGTGATTCTTGTGAATAAATAATGAATTGCTCGCTTATATAACTGATATATATAACTAATAATAATAATCTATAAACAGACTTCAGGACTCACAGCAGAGTGGTTGCTGTTGCGAGGCCCTAGTCCCTGGTTGGCTTGGGTGTCCCTCAGCCCCTCAGGACCCAGGCCCAGAGCGGGAGGGGGAGTCTTCATCTCCAAAGCCCGGTTCAGGTTTCCATGAGCAAACACCGAGTAGCCAATACCTGCCAAAACACACCACGATATGGAGCAGGAAGTGAAAAGAGATGTGAGCTCAACACCTTCCTCGCCTCCATCTGTGACAGAAACTTCCTCTTTTGGTTTGATCTTGGACAACAGCGTACAAGATATGAGTAACATTCTTAAAATGTGCCCACAACTAGACAGATATCACTCATATTGGTTTATGGCATTTTGTTTGTGCATCTCTGTATTACTGTACACAAGGGACAGATGTGCTAGATTCAAGAAACCACAGAACTAGTTAAAGAGAGAGAGAGAGAGAGAGAGAGAGAGAGAGAGAGAGAGAGAGAGAGAGAGAGAGAGAGAGAGAGAGAGAGAGAGAGAGAGAGAGAGAGAGAGAGAGAGAGAGAGAGAGAGAGAGAGAGAGAGAGAGAGAGAGAGAGAGAGAGAGAGAGAGAGAGAGAGAGAGAGAGAGAGAGAGAGAGAGAGAGAGAGAGAGAGAGAGAGAGAGAGAGAGAGAGAGAGAGAGGGCCAGTTTCACACTCAAGTTTCCTGTGAGTTCTCAGCAGCTGCAGAGCCCACAGGGAACCACACAGATCACACCATTACTGTTAATTACACTATTGCAAAAGTATTTCATTCACTTACATGTTTCATATTTTGGTCTTAGGGCATATAAAGTTAGATGGAAATACACATTCAACATAAAGTAACAATTGAAACTGGATGACAAGGTTAATATTGATATCAAGGGTATTTCTCACATCTTGTTTTTTGTATTTTTATATTTGTGGTGAGTATTTGTATTTCAATGTCCCATGTTTTTGTAATGTGAAAAATGTGATTGAACTACATGCAACTATTGTGGTGGAGGCAGTAACACCTACTTTTTTATAATTTCTTTGTCTGGAATATTCCACACTATGGCATTAAATTTATCTGTCTCCATGGAGACAAGCAGGTAGCTCCACTAGACGTGTGGAAAGGTGAGTTTGTCCATGGAGAAAGAACGTCTGTAATGTAATTAATGCAAGCTATATTAGTTTAATGCCATATTGTGGAATATTCAAGGCAAAGCATGGAGACAAGTGAACCCCGACCAGAAAAGTTACATGGTAAAGAGATGCAGTATTATAGTCATTATACAATTACAATTACACAGTCATTAAATAATTATGCAATCACTACACAAATTGATTTATTACCAAAATGAGTAGCAATGATACCTGAGTGTGGAGACATAAAGGCACTGTGAGGGTGTGTAGCAGCTGGACTGACAGATCCTGGTCTGGAGCCCAGTGGTTTGAACCCGGGGGGTCTGTGGGCTCCCATGTGTGAGGGGTTTGGTGGTCCATTCTCACAGCTAGATGAGACCAGGAACTGAGCTTCTGGGGTGAGCAAAGAAGGAGGCTTTTGGAAAATAAGAGAAAGTATGTCTCCTGTTAATCTCTGGCATACTGTAAAACGACAAGTACAATACACCACCTTGAAACAGGAATCAAAAACGTTCATTGTCATTTGTCATTACACCTATGTATCATTAGCATACATCCATTCAGATGAAAATACATAGTTAACAGTTAAATTGAAGTGAGTGGAATTATAAATAGACATGCACTCACATAGAAGCGCTGACGGGCCACAGACAGGTCCATCCCTTCACTCAGACCAAACTTGTCAGATGTGATCTGCATACTCTCCTCACTGTCAAGCTCTGAGCTATCCAGACCAAGGCCTTTTCTACGGAGCGTCTGTAAACACAATACAAAAACAAAATGACCACCTGATTACAGGCAATTTTAATAAGACTATTGGTCAAAAGTGTGGTCTCCTTGAACTAAAAATCTGCTTCGTGTGTGCACAGATTAATCCCTGAGGCAGTCTCAAAACCGGCAGAGCTGAGACGAATGCACAGCCAAACCTTTTAGATTTTCCTTCTTTACAATCTTATGAATGCACTTTATGTCTATATTTAATCTATGGACTGTTATTTTGTTTAACTGCGCAGTTAAATACGTGAAAATCTGCTTTAATTAATAAGCAATTTGAGATCAATATTACAATGATTAAAATGTAAAATAATGATCAAAGTCATTACTTAATACCTGGGAAAAAAAACACAATATCACAATATATCCCCTTTAACCAGACCAGTGTAATAAGAAATGTGTAGATACCTCCAATATGTCTGTATTGGTACGGCTCTCGTGTGGTTCACTGTACTCTGTGTACTTGAGCAGTACTTTGTCCATGTCAGTGCTCGCGTACTGGAAGAGGCGGTTGGTGCTGTTGAAGATGATCAGGGCAATCTCACAGTCACACAGAACACTCAGCTCGTAGGCCTTCTTCATCAGACCAAACTTACGCTTGGTAAAAGTCACCTGCACCCCAACAGTAACACATGGGCTATGGTGAGACATGCTAGACAGGAAAGATGCCACAGAAACATGCTATGGTTCGTTAAAAAAGGAAAGGAAAATGTATCTTTTTCACCACAGCAGAGAGCTTTGACCACAATGTGTCTCAAATGTAGTACCAACTTTTTCTTTTCTTTCCAGAAGAATGTTATAGCATTAAGCTTTTCTATATTGCATTCTTTCAACTACAGGTGGTTTTACTACTAGAACTTATATTCACTAAATATTAAGAAGCATCCCTTCAGAAGAAGGGTTACCTCTCTATAAATATGACTTGTAACTTGCTCTGGTGGTGTCTGGTGGAGATGGATTAGCTGAATGTAATTTTATGAAACATTTCTGAAAAAGTACTAACATATTCCGGCACACAAGCAGGTGGCTGACCCTGCACATAGTGCACCTTTAAATAATTATATTAATCAAAGAATAAAATTACAAAAATTGCAGAATATGTACAGGCTTACCTGCCGATTTCTTTGGTCCAGAATGCGTGAGATCTGTATTTTCTTTCTTCCCATATTTTCTGTTGGCTGGCTCCTGTTAAAGACACAAGCGATGTATAAACATAATGAATATATATATATATATATATATATATATATATATATATATATATATATATATATATATATATATATATATATATACACACACACACACACATACATACATACATTATATATATATAATATTTTTTTTCCATTTCAAAGGGTCAGACTACTCAAGCTTCAACTGAATTGGAACTGAAATTATATTTTTCATGCAATTTAGTATTTCACAGTTGGACAACCAACATGTGCCTGACATGATTTGGGCATATGTATGCTCTATAGAGCTTAAGAGTGCTGCATATATTGTTTTAATAACAGTCCGACGGTATCGTATACGATACCTGGGAATATATTTTATATAACCGCGCATAACTTTTCAACCATAAAAGATGGAAACTTACTTTTTTTCTCGAAAATCTGAAAGTTGCGGCTTTCCGAGCATATTTCCGGCATTATCCTACGTCACACGCACGCTCCGTGATGAAATTAGTGTCCAATAGGAACTTTGTTTTCTGCTAAACGCACGCGCTCCATCCATTTTCATTGGCCCAAACTTTGCCAAAGAGTGTAATGAGTCAAGATGGTTACTTGCTCTGAGCGCTTATGTTCGTGACAATTGAAAAAGCGGCTCTAATTGCAATTAATTCTCAAATAAATGGCAAATTACGCAACTTGGTCTGCGTATCCCTTCCTATTTTTATTTGAAAGTCTTATTTCACTCAAAATGCACAAATACAAATGTAATATACACCATGGAAATGCATGGAAGTGATGTGGCTCCATGCCCTGTAATTGACAGAAGCTGTTTCTCTGGCTGGCACCAGCAAAGTAATGGTGTTATTGCAATTATTTGTTTTGTTTTGAGGGCAATAAGGATATTTTTAGTTTACTTACAGATTTGATATTTTTCTGCTTTTGTAGCTAAGACCTTAAATTAAGCCTTTTCATGTCCAAAAAGTTGTTTATATATGTTTGCTGTGTGTTTTGTACGAAAGAGTGTCCTATAGCTTTTATTACAGCCATAACACAACTACAGCATGCAGACTGTGAAATAATGGACTGTATTGAAAAAAAGGATGTAGAACACTGCATTAGGGAGTAAAAGGGGTAGTTTTAATAGCAAAATTAAGAAAAAAATCCAGATGAGGACAAATGTACTAAAATTCCCCTTAGATCTTAAAGGGTTTCGATATGAAACTTGTTGAAGTGACTTGAGTTTGCCTTTAGCCCAAGCTGTAGTATATTTTTAGTGTCATGCAGTGATGGACTCTAAACTTAGCAGCCCTTGCCTGTTGCCTTGTCCACAGTCTGACCCCCACCTCCTGCCACCCCACCCCAATCTGAGTGACCCGCCGCCTACAGCGCAGTGCCCAAGAGACAAGGTTATAAATAAAGCTTAGCACTCCATTTTTGAGGATCAGCGGGCAACGTCCACAAAACAAACAGCATGGACAGGACCGGTGTATTTGTAAAAAATGATTTTGTTGAAAGCCGCCCACTCCTCTCTCATGCAAAACCATGTAAGAAAAATAACATCAAGATAAAGCCAAAGTAAAAGATTATAACAGATATTGATCTGTTGCTAACAGTACATTACAGCATTATGTGTTGTAATTTTATGGAAAAAAAAATATTATATTTTTATTTGATAATAAATTAAATAAACAATTTAAATGTATTGATAATTGCTCTAACATGAACATAATAAAAAATATCTCACAATAACATTATGTAGGAATAATAATTGAAATAAATTTTGAAAGTTAAACAAGTATTAATAATTGTGTCAACGGTAGCCACAGTAAAGATCGCATCAGTAATATCTTAACAATTTGGATGTTATAGTTGAATAACGAATTTTAAACAAAAAAAGAAAAATAAATGAAATGTGTTTTATTGTTACTTCTTTTTTAATTACTTTTTTCTCAAACAAAGAAAGCTGATTCTGACCTATTACGGCATCTAAACATTTTCCTTATCAGTGCCGTTAAGTGTCCGTCTGGCCCTGCTAACCCACACTTTTCCAAAGCCCAGTGGAATTCCTTGGTTTTCCCCTGAATCCTCAATATTTATTGGATGTCTCTATATTTAGTGGCTGTCCCTGTTGGCGGATATAGTGGCCAGTTCCCATGACCCCTCTAGTGCCCGCTACAACTCCACGTCAGCTTGGCACTCAGGCATCTGGGGCATTTGAGCTGAAATCACCTCTCAGGCCTTTTACCTTATAAAGTTGTGACATATGCACAGATAGGGCAGACCTGTTCAGTGACTCTAAACACCAGCTGTCGAATAGTTATATGTCACAGCAAAAACCACAGAATTGCAAAAAAGTATTCAGTGAGAACACGACACTGTTAATGCACATACAGTCTTGTAATGTTAAATGTTAGCGATGTGCAGATGAAACAAAAAATCTTTAATTTTGAGTTGGGTTATACATATATATATCGACTATTGTTAAGTAAATATTTGTATCAGTGCAGTACAGGGTTTCAGAGGTAGTCATCTAGACACTGTTTTTGCAATCAAGGCATTTCAGCCCTTATACAGAAACCATTGTCAATTTTTCAATAAAAATATAAAGTGAAAATAGATTTTTCCTTAAAATACAGTAGTTTGTTAGGCTGGATAAGAATGCAGGCTTATCGACATCCACCTGGGGAAAAATGAGTCACAAGAAAAAGAAGATGAAAAATCGCTGTTGATGAAAAGTCATGTTTGACTTTGTACATGATCATCTCAAAATAAGTTGGTTGGTTTCATGGAGACACCAGTGACACATTTGACCTAATATCACTGAATATTTATGGTGAAACTAGGAGGAAGTTGGCCATGTATTCAAAACAGGCAGACAGATCTTATCTCTGGGGTTTTACTTTAAGTTCCTCTCCTTTACAGAATTAAGTATCATTGAAAAGCATGTTAAATTTAGCACGTACACTTTCTGCCAAACCATGCAGGGTTAGCTTTAGCGTGCAGTGTGGTTTTATGAGAGCTGAGACAGACAGGAAAGACCTTCTGCTAATTCTGGAACTATTCCCTTGTCCAAAACTGATAAACTGCAGGTTGTGGTGTGCGTTCAAATAAGAAAAGTATAGTTTCATATTTAGGCTCTGGGTCATTCCACCTAACTCTCAATAATTACCTGTTGTAAATGATGTCTGGCACTCAGAATGACCAGGTGTCAGACCAAAGGGTTAAAGTTGGGCAATAAAGCAAATTAACTGGATTAACTTGTGAAAAACTGTGAAATTATTATGAAAGTGACTTACTTTTAGCATAGTATGTTTATTGTAGAGTGCAGTGGAGAGGAGGATAGATAACAGTTAGGCCTACAAAGGGAAATGCTTTACTATAACTGAATTAAAATTACACAACAAAAAACGCACACTGATTGATTGTACATATATAAATTATGAATGCACTTAATAAAATTGCAATCATCAAAATGTACAAACTATTTAAGTTTTACTTTTTTTCCCATATCAATCAATACTGGTCTATGGTCACTCCTGAGCTATAGACTTTCACAAAAACTCTGAAAATTAGCTCAAAATGTTATTGCAAATAAACATGGATCAAACAGTAACTATGGTTATGGTTTTCCCCAGTCTGAGATTGCTGTTCTTGTCCTCATGTGCATACTCAAGCATTTCATTTTCACAGTTTGTCAGTTTGTTTTTGTGTTTATTGGAAGCCATCCATGTTACTGATATAGCCAATGTTTTATTCATGTTTGTTTTGTGTATGTTTTATTTTGTGTATTATTAACAAAGTAGAGAAGGTGCATATGCCTCTTCACTTCATTGGGCACATCTTGAGAAATAAGGGACTACACCATCTTGTATGACTTACAAAGTACTCACCAATCCCAAAGATGAAATAGAGCAGGTTTATAGATATAATGCCATATACGAATACATGCATGCACTAAATGTAAAAGAGAACAAGGAAGTTGGCAAAACAAAATTAAAATCCAAAATGGGCCCACAATACACTGAACTGTGGAGAAGGGCATTCTTTATTTTCTCAAAGTATTCTTTTTTGTCATCTAATGTTTATTAGATAATTCAGTTTAGGACAGTTATCACAAAGAAAATCAAGCACAATTATATATATTCTAAAAAAGCCACTCTGCAGGTGGTGCTGCATTCATCCTTCATATAAGGAGACTACCAAAATCTGTGTAAATCAGTACCATTCAACTCTAATTAAACTAAAACATATTACTTATTTATTACTATTACTGTTATTGTGGACACACTATCTCATTCTGTTATTATAAAATCTCCACTACTTACTGCTTCGATTACTTTGTCAATTTTAAGTTTCATATTCTTTCTTAAAATGTATCTGTCCCAGCATTCTCAAAGACAAAATATCTTTAGTCTTTGAACCGTAGTTTATAATAGTTCACCCAACTAGGTCGGACATGACACTGTTGCATACAAATTGTTGTTCTAAAAATGTGCCATATACATATAAACATAAGGGAAAAAATTAGGCATTTCTGAAGTATTTTAGTTCTGCATCACTGGTCTTCTTTCTCTGATTCTCACAGTCACATGTGACTACCTATTCATTTCACAGCAGATTTACAGTTCTGTGAATCAAAAGATTTTTCTTTCAGTTATCTTTACAAGACAGAACTATTACCTTTTGATTTTTTTATTTATCTTTAAGACATTTCAACAATTTTAGTGCATATCTGTAGACTGTATAAAATATTTAAACAGGGCTGTGTTTTTGAAGCAACAGGCTGTAAAAATCATCTGTTGAGTGTTTGGTGAAGTAGCAGGGGTATGCTGCATGTTAAACAAATGACCATTTGAATTCTCTGGTGAATTTATTACATAATGAAAAAAATACAGGCCAACTGCTAAAGCTCATGAAAAAGTCATTATATGGCACAAACACATCTTTGAGTAAATGGTTTTACTACAGATGTGTTCACACTGTGATAAAACAAACAAACAAATGAATAATAATATTTAGACATCAAGAGAATGAATAGCACAGTGTTTCATATAAAATAATCTAGGCCTACTTTATATCTGTTGAATGCTGTTTAATGGCCATAAAGTAGGCCTGTAGCACAAAGATAAATATTGACAATCTACATTTGAATATCATAAGGCTTTTAGGGTCAGGGAGGATACTTGTGGACACAATGGTGACAAATTATTTGTCTAATTTTGACTACAGATAATTGACTGGCAAGATATTTTTAACACTGAAATGCTCCATAGAGGCTTTATGTGGAGCAAGCTGCTGCTGATGATGATGCAGATGAAGCGTAGCCTACAAATAGCCTACAAACAAATAGGCTACCACCATACATATTGTTCTGGTACAAGTAATTTCACCGTCCACCATAAAGTGATGTTTAACCAATGGATGCCGTAATGGCTCAAAATGCAAACTTGCATCTCAAGTTAACGCTGAACTGATTCAAAGAGTCACGAGAAAAAATAGACTGGGGACTCAAATTTGACACGGTAAAAATAGAAGTCTATAAAAACTGTTTCTGGATAACCGGCTTTAATAATTAAATAGCCTAAAATATATATAAAAATAGCCTATGGTGTGAATGAAGCTTGTCTGGTCCTTGGTTACCAAGCAAGCACATGTTGCCATGCTAACAGATACATTCATAAAGTGATGAAACATAAACGAAACAGTTTCTGCGCAACTTTAGGCACAAGGATTTTGTTTTAAAATAATGCCTTTTGGAGCGTCAATCTAATTTTCTCTCACCTGTTAACTGTGCTCTGCTTTGGTGCTGTCCTCAATCTCTTGAATCAGGTCTCAAAAGTCAAAGTATATGACGTTCCCCTCACGATTCTCTTGTGGTTTGGCGCTGATTGACGTTGATTGCACCTGATGCGGCAGAAGTGATGGTTGTGCGCTGCTTTCAAACAGCTGGCCGCTCTCACTCACTGTACAGCGCCTCCTCTATGGCGCAATTGGCCACTCACCTCCTCCTCCTCCGCCTCCCTTCAGACACAAGGGCTCAGCATCACAGCAGAACTAGGCTGCCACTGGGCTTTTTATGAACTTTGAATTATATGTGACCGCATGGGAAATTATAAGAACTTATCAGATTTAGCTTTATATATAACTAGATGTAGTCTTTTCTTTTGTTTTCTTGCATTTGTATGTATATTTGGATAAGGTCTGTTATTTGTGTATGATAAATACTTACAGTCTGTTATAACAACTCAATAAGGCTACATCTCATTAAGCATCCAGTCCTAATAGTCATTGTGCAAAATGCATTTATTTTATTATACACCCATACCTCAATTGGATAACCTTAAATGGTTACCAGAAGGCACTTCCTGTCTTCTTCAACTTTGTACTAATTTGTTTGGGTTTGAAAAAATAAAAAAATCTACTCATACAATTCTGAGCAACACATTATTTTCTTCTATTTACAAAAATGTTCATTAATGTGCACTCCACCTGCTTGAATAAATAAATAAGCTTTGAAGTAAAAGTCAATGCATACCATAGTCTAAGCCATGCATAATATGTATTCAACCAATCTATTAAAAGCAAATACCCCCATGTTCATTTAATAGGTATGTTTAGACCTAATCACTGCATGCTACATGATTGACTATTTTGGGATGTGACACAAAGCCCTTCCTAAAAATAATAGTGACAATTTATTAGCCCAGAGCATCCATGGTTGACAACTCTATCCCTCACACAGCAACAGACCTTGGCATATGAACCTGATCGGATCCCTAGACGATTCTCAAAGTGTGCTCCTGATGCAATAGTTAGCAACATCCCTACAGAGAGTCATGGTTTCTATACCTTCAGGACTAAAGTAGCCTTCAGCTCCCATTCGTAAATACAAGACTTTAAGTTTTATAGTCATAAGGAATTTCTGTTTTCCACTGTAGTAGTTGTTAGGTTTTTTACTGACTTACTGTATACCCAAATCAAGCAATAGGACTACTGATAAATGATCTCTTCATTATTGCACCTGTTAGTTGGTGGGATGAACAGGCTGTATGTCAACATAATGTCCTTGAAATTTGCAGGAAAAAGGTTTAACAATTATTATTAACTCTAATCACAACATACACAATAAACAAAATGAGGGTCAGAATAGAATTATACAATATTTGGTTGGTAAATATGTTGCTTAAATGGCTAGTATCTTGGATCACAGTGGAAGGCATAGGAATTGGATCTTTGCATGAGCATCTGTGTATGTACAGGGGTTTACAGTGGCTTTATCAGACTAGTGAGTATAAAGATCAGTTATTGAAATGTCAATTTAAAGTTGAAATGTGGCTGTGACAAAGGCACTTTAAAGATTAAGTTCATTTTTTCATTTTCCTGAAACTTCTCACTTCTGCTTTCGACAAGATCAGCCACAACTCTTTTAGAGCCTGTGGTGAGGCAGTCGAATTCAGAAATAGCCTACATGGTCAGTGTACATGTGTGAGAGCAATTGTTCACATTGTGTACCTTTATAGCTACGTCGTCTTATCTGCGCCTTAACAGAAAATAAGTTACACCTTTAACCCTCATAGCCCCCACCAAAACCTTTACCAGAACAATACATCCACTGTGGGACAAACTGCAAACCAGAGAGCTGCGTGTTACCTAGTAATGAAAAGGTCATATGCTGTAGGTCTACTACAGTGGTAGAAAAACTGTATACTCTGCACTTAATTACTCTGTACTTAATAACTTACTTCCAAATAAGTAACTAACATAATCACTGTAAACATTAATAAGTCCTAATATTATCTGAAATACTAACAATCTATGTTCAACCTTTTGGAGCTACACACAATAAATCTCATCAAAGGTGAGCAAGTTAGGCCTCCCATGATCTACAAACGTAACACTGAAAATGTTGTCCCTGTATACTTGAAATCAATGAACAGAATTCGACAGAATTTGAGCTGTAGTTCTTAATAATAAACTGTGTTATCTTAATAGAAATAGGCAATTGGATTCAGTCAGCATCTGAAAAGTGAATAACAAATTCTTGCTAAAGGTGTGTGTATACGGCACATTTTAATTTAGTGTTAATTAATTTTTATAGGGCTAAATCTTAATTTCATTGAAGAATATGTGTCCACTTTAAAACGGCATATTGAAAGATTAATCATAATAATCCTTTAATCGCGTAATCAAGTTGTGCCTCAATGCTAAACCTAATCTGGGTGAAGAGGAGATTCTGTTTTATAAACGTTTAACAGAATGTGTAGCCGCAATGGTCTGCCCAGTTTGCATCTTTGCAAAGACTTTTAGCAGCAGTCCTCAGTTGCATCAGTGTCCATCTCACGTGTGTCCAGAGTTGGGGCACACTCGTGCATTGTTGCCGGAGATCCAAGAGAAAAGTCTATTGTTGTTGCAAAGTTTTAATCTGAGGCTTTAACGCACATCACATGCCCAGACTGAGTAAGCGCTCGCAGTGGACTCTGGTACAACACAAAACTACTGAAAAACTCCAGTGCCGGACAGGAAACGTCCCTATCCGCCGCCTGGAACACTAAAACAATGCTATACGTCGGAATGGCAGCCAGAGTTTGTGCGTAAAAGCGAGTGAAGTTACCGCGCCACCAATTTTGTAACCCAGCGCTCGTATAAGAATAACATGGCGAACTACAGTCAACGCTCTTTAATAGTTTTGTGCCTACTGGGAGTTTTATCTGCAATCATGTCCGTTCTGTCTGTGATTTTAATCTTCCAGCTTCAGTCCCAACAGGCGGCGGTGAAGGACTCTAACCCGCCAAGCTCGCCCCTTCTCTCCGCTGGCGTGTGGGCCGTGCTTCTGCCCGTGTCCACGGTGCTTGCAGCTCTATGCCTCACTCTAAACCTGAGCTCCGTAGTTGTGTGCCTGCTCCACGGATACTTTTCTACGGAGATGTGTAGAGGGGAAAAGGACACAGAGAGGTATGTCTCGCCAGACAGGATTTAAACCTGCCAAAACATCTAGTGATGTTGTGAAGTCTGGAACAGGTTTATACACTTTGCTTATTGGATAAAAAGACTATGAATGCGGGGGGAAATTGTCACCAAATCTTAATACAAAACTTCTTATAAGCAGTCAAGACCAGTCCAGAGTAGTAACTTCCAAATAGGCTAAATAAAATATGTTATGCAATATATATGTCATTTATTTTAAAGGTTAAAGGACAGTTCTATTCCTTTACTGCTAGGGTAAATTATGGATGTTTTATCATTGACAAAAACGAGTACAATTTCTGAAGACAAGACATAAGAGGTGTATTCATTCTTTTCATGTATTCAGTCCAAAGAGGATTAAGTTGTGAAAATAGTATATTTGAGTGAAGTGAAATACCAAAGGCGTATCCCCATATTTTCTGAGACTCACTTGCACTGAGCAACCCCCACCCTTCAAAATCCTGCATCGGGTTGAATCTAGACACAATGGGCTTCCTCTTAAGCACCCAGTGCACGGCCCCTATCTGGCTCGCTCCCACATCCGTTTACAAATCCACCATTAGATATCTTCGAACCTATACAGACATGATGGGACAGATGCTACAGCAACATAAATAATATCAGTCAATCAATCAATCATTCATGATTGGGAAGCTGCATAACTCAGAAAGAAATGGGAACATTAAAACGCAATATAGCAACAACAATAATCTGATTGTGGCCAACCGCTTTCATTTATGGCACAGTTAACAAGGGCTTTTGTCTCCACAGAGCAGACTGGTTCCTCCTGGACAGCAGGGCAATACGACATGTGGCAATTGGGCTGTTCTGCATGGGAGTCTCTGTTTACTTGGCAGGTAAACAGTCACAAAACTAAATCACATCATGTTATAAAAATGCGTGTGTGGGATCTGGGAGGCATTCAAAATAGCATGAACATAATATGCAAAGTACAACAGTTAACCAAAAGACTGCAAATGTAAAAAAAAAGGTTAGCTTGTCTAATAAACTGAATAAGAGAATCTTGAGTTCTGTAGACTTTAAATGGCTGAGGCACAAGCTGTAATGCCATGTTCATTCTGGTCCAAGAACAATGCATTCTTTGAGCAGTATCCATGAGTGTTTTTAATGCTGAACCTGGCAGCGCAGCTTGTACTGCAGGCATGACTGGAGCCAAGCCTCTCCATTGTAACAAGGTCTTGGTGTCATTGGCCTTATGACCCTTTCTTCAGACACTTTTACTTAAGTGAGGAAAGGAAGGACAATGCCAAAATCATCACATTCCAGTGGTGAGCTTCTCTCCTTCTTTTGGCATTCCTGTGTCTACTGCCTTTTTTCTGTAAGAAAAAAAAAATCTTGTGTAACATATGTTAATTTACATATTGTACATTCATGTATGTTGTTTAAATTGATACTTTGAAAATGAAACACATTCTATTTGGATTCACAACATCTAATGAATCAAATTCTTTCTCCCTCACAGCCATGTGCATCTTTATGCTGTTAATATTTGAAGTGGAGACTGGCATTGCAAGTGCCTGTGTGCTTTCCTCTGGCATATTAATCATGCTGATAATAGTTATTCATGCCCTGGTCAAAGCTTCCCACAGTGCCAAAAAATTTCATACTGACCACATTGGTGCTTTATATCAAAACGACCATATTAACAGCAATGCACCCCTCTCTCGACCATGTGAGCTCAAAATTGGCATGGACAAACCACGAATGCACCGCACGCAGTCTTATCTTGTGCATAACATGGTGTATCCCCCTTGTGGCAACCCAAACCCAATAGAACACCCTCAGTATTCCCCAAATGAAGCACCCCATGACCGGGGCAGTCCTAAAGATGACTATAGCAGTGGAAGAAGTAGTTCAAGGATGCACAGGACGATATCAAGTGACTCGGCCTTACTGCAAGCTCAGGTAAAGCCTTGGAATGGAGTAAACAATGAGATGAGGAGTGTACTTGCACGAAAGTCTGGGATCTCTGCCAAAGACTCTACTCTTGTGTGAAGCTTGGAACAGTTGTTGGTCTGTATGCACTGCCTGGGTGCTTTTCCACAATGTGAAGGCTGATATAACAATTTTTATCTACTATATTTTGTCATGCTACATTTTAGCAAAACATCATCAGTTTACATAATCTAAAATCAATAGTTTCTTTTACAATTCAAACTACTGTGTAACACCAAGATTTTAAATAAATTTTTTATCATTTTAAACTTGGGGCGATAATAAATTGTCTGATATTACACACAATGTATCTTGGTTAACAAAAACACATGGGTTTTTTTAAACGACCCTATCAAGAACAATGTGATGATGATGAATGAATACTTTGCCACAGATTAATGGTAATGACTGACCTTGAAAACCTCAGCGAAGAGGTCATGAGGAAGTAGACCGGACATGAGGTGGAGGAGAGACATGGGGACTAGGAGAGGGGTGAACACATTTAAAATTCATGCAGAAGGTTACAAAGTAACAGCAAAATATGTGATAATGTCTGCATAATAAAATAACACATTTGGTGAGGACTGATAAAGAAAGCAAATAACATTCAGATGTTTTTACACAAAAATGCAGATACAATAACGATGGACTAAATGAGGAAAATACTTTACAAAGTTAAGCTTTAAGGACAGGAAGGTGTATTTTAGAAAACCACTTAAGGAAGAAAAAATAGGGAGAACGAACAAACATATCAGGTGAAACAAATAAACAAACGTACCTGCGTCCTTGAGAATTGTTAATCCGCTCCTTTAGACTGATGGCCTGGCGAAGCAAACCGTCAATGTTCTTGAAATATAGACTGCTGTTTGTCATACTCTTCACAGCACTGTAAAGAAAGGAATAAGTGTTGGAAAAAAATAATCACATATGTAACAACAGAGAATATACAGGAGCTCACCTGCATGCGTATTCCACAGTGTAGATGGCGCCTTGACTTTGTTCTTCCCAACTTTGCATGTCTGTCTGAATGAGAAAATAAAACCATACCATAAAGTAAAACCAAACAGGAAAAGTAAAAAGTTAATTAATCATGTACCACTACATATCAAATGTACAATACCAATAAAATCACATTTTACTGAAATTATATGTAACAGCTAGTAACTCAATTTTTCACCTACTTTGTGTTGCACCAGTTCTGGAAGAGACCTCCGGACATGCTCTTGCAGCCTGTACAGAGCTACCGAGGGCTCGTTTGCCAAAACATACATGCTCTCCGTGAATTTGTCAGCCACTGAAATTAAAAACAACAACGTATTTTATTACTGCAGTAATGCTGGTTAAATTGGGGTTATATGATGTAGTATGCAAACAAAGATGTCACGATGTTCAATGAAGCAAATTTAGCCAAACAATGATAAGTTAGCATTGACAAAGTAACAAGGTTGGTGACATGGAGATGTTTTACTACCTCGTCTAACTTTAAGTTGCATCTCCTGGTCCTCCATGTTGCAATGTTATAATACAAGCCCCTCAAACGCCAACAATTTTGTTTTCCCGATTTGATTCCTTTCCTCTTCCGTATTTTGGTTGTGGTGTGTAACTACAGAAACGATCCGGGTAGAAACTGTGACAAAACGCACACATCAGTCGCTTCCCAAGGTAGTGTACGTTGAAATGCTTTAATAAATCGAACATTGCTTTATTCGTGAGTAAATTATTTGTAATTTTAAGAACAATTTAGCACTGGAGTAAGAACTAGGTGCAGTTTGTCTGTCATCACCACACCCACACGTTTGGTCCGTTGAAAGCGCACTTTCACTTTGCTTTTCCACGGGGTAGCCTTAAGTTTGAGTAATAAATTTAGTGACGAGTAATGAAAAGTCTCTTAATGGAAAATGTACCTTCTGTAGTTTGGTAAGTGCCAATACGTGGTGCCAACTGATATTAGAGGTGATGGTGAGTTTGCAGAAGCTCATAGTGCGCACGTCCACCATCAACCATCGTTACCGAAGCCAAATATAGTTATTAAAGTTATTAAAAAGTATGCAGTGCAAATGGACTTAATATAGTCCTGAACTGATCGATAACAGTTTTAGCAGAAAAAATGGAAGAGGATAGTTCTTTTTTTTCATCCACGACTCTGACCAACAAGCATCGAGGAAATGAAGTCACCTTACCTCCAGCTTCTTTGGACAGTAAGCTGTACACTGCAGTATGACACTTTCTTACACAAGTTGTTTTAAAATTGTCAAATTTCTTCAGCTTTGTCTATTCATCAACTGGCTGCACAGGGCGAGCTATCACAAGTTGCTGCATATCTAAATAAAGGTAGGCTATCTCTGTCCTCCTGACACGACATAAAGTAATGCCTTTTCCTTAGTCTTAAGTCATTCCAAACACATAAGGGCACATTTTCTTTTAAGAAACCATTCTTTAAACTGTATTTAATTGAATTACAATATGTAGAAATCATTTCATCTTCTTCCAACCCCCAAACTACCAAGACCCTTGAAACTATGACAATTTCACAGTATATAACTGGTGCACTCTGTGTTATCTGTTAATTTGTTCTGTAATTTTTACTGTTGGCATTGTTTTCACTTTTATTGCTCTATGTATCATCATTTCTAAATAGATTAATAAATATTTTGAGAAAAGAAAATCTTAATTTTTGCAGACAGTTCTCTTCTCAACAAACAAGATGAACGGGGATTTACACCTCTTATGTGGGCTGCAGCATTTGGGGAGAAAGCAATGGTGGATTTCCTGCTGGAAAAGGTTAGAAGTGCATTGCTCAATGCAATCATCATAATGTATTTGCTAAATACATAACATAACATGTTTTAGGGTGCCGATCCCAAAACTATTGCACGGGAAAGGGAAAGTGCACTTACACTTGCCAGCTCTGGAGGCTTTGCAGACATAGTTGAAAGTCTCTTGAGACACGGAGTGGATATAAACTCTTATGACTGGGTAACGTAAAGTTAGTTGACATAAAATGACATGATTGAAATGTTAACTGAAATGTATTATTTCAGAATGGCGGAACCCCTCTTCTTTACGCTGTCCGTGGAAACCATATTAAATGTGTTGAGACCCTTCTAGGTATTTTAAATTCTTTTTATGTTTTTATGTCAGTTGATCATTGATTTATTTTCACCATTGCATCTTCATTCATCAATAAGTCTTTGAGCGAGTTTCTTCCCTTTATCTTCTGTATTCAGCCAAAGGAGCTGATCTGACAATTGAATCTGACTCTGGTTACACTCCCATGGCCTTAGCTATTGCACTGGGGCACAAGAAGAGTATGTATAATATAATATGTTAATGCATGTCTTATACCTGATTGTTTTAAATCTTCACTTTGATATCTTGTTTTATAGTTCAGAAAGTGTTGGAGGATCATGTTGTAAAGCTCTACAAATCAAAGACGTAACATACAAAAAATTATCTTGTTGTTTTTTTATATGTAATTAAAGGCAAGATTTGTAATCACATTTGTATGTTTTTATTTGAAGGAGTTGTTCTGTTTACATAATTACATAAAAATATTGATATAAAACACATGAATGTATTATATGGGAATTATTTGGTTGCACAGTGAAGAAAAAAATTATATTGTCCATTCAAGTTCTTTTCACAGAATAGTTGTAGTTTGACCTCTATTGCCACACATCGCAGAAAAGAGATGCCCAATAACTGTGATACCAAAAAAGGCCATTAGTCAAAAGTTCATAAGGTGACAAAACAGACCTGTACCACAACATCCTGTGTCCTGTCCCATGCCCACGTTCTCTTCCTCTCTCATGAAAAAGTTGTAAGAAAAAAAAAATCATGATGTCTTTTCCCCAAGGATGTCCAAAGAATAAACAATAACCCTCCCAAAAAAGTCTGTACTATTCTCAAATATTATTTTTACTTTGTCCACCACAGGGGCCTCCTGAATGGGAAAACTGTGGGTGTAGCATTAAGGATAAACACTTGCAGAGAGCAGAAAAATTTCCAACTGACCAGGTATATAAGTGGCTGAAGAAAACAAACAGTATATGTGGCTCTGTGCATAAAAATTCATATGATAGTCAGGTTTACTTGCTTCTGTAGATTGTTAACAATTTCATGAAAGTGAAATTATTTTTAATAGCTCAATTGAAAGAGTGAAATTAGGTTGTCATTGTTTGAACTTAAATTATTTAATTAGTAATAGTGGTACACGTGATTATAGAAAAGTAGGAGAAGTCACATATGATTTGGTTTATTAAAGGATATTTGTAAAGAGTTGTCATCCTCTGGGTAAAACTGACGTACTTTGATTTCTCCATCTGTATGACTCCCTGCAAGAAGAACAGTTCATGTTTAGATAATACCATTATGTAAACTTAGCAAAGAAAAGCAGTCCTACCCTCTAGTCTGCATGATTTAGCTGCAAATCCACCTTGAAACTGAAGTTTTATTTCAGTAATTTTTACAGATTGAGGAAACTCCAGAGACACCCACTGGTATTCTCCCTGTAAGAGTAAAGTTAATAATAGCTCACAATGAAACGAAATATATCGATCTATGATCTAACACTAAGAATACACATAAAGTTATTTTTACCTGGTCCGAGTTCCAACAAGTCTCTTCGTTGCTGTCAAACATGTATTTCTTCCCATACTGCTTCACATCTCTATTTAGAACCGAACTAACCCTGAATGCAGTAAACAATCATATTTTAGCTGTTCAAACCTCAGTCAGTGAGAACAAAATGGATTTAAAATAATCAATCTACAAATATTTTCTTCATTATCTTTACCTGCTTAGAGTTTCTGTGCATATCAGTGTAGAAGCCATGCTGCTGTACTGGTCAGTTTGCCGTAAAGCGAGAGATCATTTTACGACAATGAAGGAATGAATATGCGATTCGTCTTTTCGCCACTAGATAGCGCAAGTGTGCTGTTTTGTCGTTGAAGAAGCTAGAAGTCTGAAGACAAGTAACACGGATTTGGCAAGTAATTAAATGTTTAGTAATTCAGTCGCGCAATCCATGAACTATGCAGACACATTAAGCATAATGTTGTCTTGTTTTCCAGATTTTAGAACAAAACACAGAACTAAAAGATATACGCTGAGAAGTCACAGAGAGTGGGGATATCCGTGGGAACAGCATATTTGCATACCTTCCACATTGGGAACATTTTGGACTGGACTCATTTCTTAATTGTTTCTTAATAACATCTTAAATATTGTTTTATGTCTATTCTGAGCACTTAGTCATACAGCTTATTGAAATATTTTGTTTTTCCACCGAGGAATTGGATGATGTCTGGGTAACTAAAGGTCAAAGAGATAAGAATCAATTAGGAGACAAGACATCAGACAAAGGTAATCTCCAAAGGCAAGTCACTTGGCTCCCACAGGTCTACCTTCATACCATACAAAAACAGATTTCAGTAGCATAGACCTTCTATAAAATAAACCTGTGAATGTTTTGTTGATTCACCATAGAAGATTGAATGAAGCTATAAAAGAACCAATAACACCATGTGCTTTATTACTTTTATTAGCAAGCATATTCCTATATCTCTTCTTCATAGCCTGGGAAGTGCAATAACAGAGAGTGTGTGCACTATATTTGTGTGAGATGGAGAGGCTGTATTTGGCACATGGCTCATTGCAGATGGAGAACTCCTGCTGAGGTTTTGTCACAGTGCCCCCGTCGCTGTGGATAATCAATAGGTCTGAAATACAAAACCTGATGAAACCCAGCCTCCGTGAAAATTGCACTGGGGAGGGAGCCCCGCTAGTCCAACACACTGCAGTAGGACCAATCAACTCACAACCTTCATTTACACACTCATACACACACACTCAAGCATGACTTTGAAGCTTGCCCTTATGCATCTATAGTCTAGTGTCCACTAGCATTGTTCCTGCTCTTTAAAAGGGTAAATTCAATATTTTCGAACTAGTTTTTACAACATGGTGATAATCAAATAAAGACTAAGACTAAGAGAAATCAGAAATTAACATTAATTTCACTCAGTGAAATTCACCAGATGCAATGCTGTGGAGGGAAAGACAGTAACAGTTTTAATTACACTGCCCACAATTAATCTGTAGGGTGCTCAGATGTTACCCTGTCAAAGTAAATGCATTGGCCAGTAGCCAGTTGGGACTTGCACCTGGCCAACCTGCCATGAATGCTTTTGGGGTAGTAATGAGCTGTCATTGAGGCGTGCACAATGGTGTCTATAAGTCTACGAATTCCTTAATGAGATATTTGTGCATAGTGCTACAATATAAGAGCAACATTGTACAACTGCTGTTTGTTGTCCATTGAACATTTCTGTCTAATGCCTATCTTAGCAGGCTTAGTAGCTATCTTTTTATTGCAAAGACAATTTGAATGACTTGATTACAGCATCCAGTACATGTGTTATGTGCATTTTTTGTTTACAACTGACAGCTCACACATTTGTATAGCCCATATGAAAGCCTGTCACCATAATTACTAACTTAATGCCTAAGTTACAGTTAGCTAAGTACTTAAGTGTTTCATTCTGCTGTTTTTTTGTTTTTTGTGTGGATAAACTCTACTCTTATTATTGTTACTGTGTCAGCAGCATAAATTTGTTTGTATATTATATTATTGTTTATCGTCTATCAAAATGTGTTACTTTGCCAGGCCTGCTCAAATGGACAGTATGTGATGACTGAAGACAAACAAAACATGTGCCATATGAAGTAGGTTTTGAACAGTTTATTTCTTCAGTTTACAGTATATGCCTTTTTACAGTGTTTGATCATTTAGCGTTCGTCTCGCTGGCTGAGCTTGTTAGAGGATTATCTCCACCTCAGTCAGTGATATGAGTTAAATCCTGGTGTTGTCGCTTTCTTCTGAAACACTCTCACAGTCTTGTAGCTGCGGCTGGTGGCTCTCAGTTTGTCACCTCTTTCTGGGTTGTGTCCTGTGTTAGGGGATTAGTGCTCCACAAACTAACTTTTGGGCTTAACCCTGACTCCAGCTCTGCTCACTGATGCTGTGCTTATCACTATGGTAACAATAAAACAAGCTGAACTCTGGCTGGTGTATATGTCCTCTGACCCTAGAAATGAAAAGAGTTTAGTATTTTCTGTGATGATCGAATATTCGTTTGTGAGAATTAGGTCAACAGCATAGAGATGTAACGAGTGCTTAAGGTAGCGTTGGAGTCACTGTGGCCTTTTCTAGAGTTTATGAGCTGTGGGCACTTTGGCAGTTTGTCTTAATGAGTCATGTGATTAATGTATGTGGTGTGTCAGCTAACAGCAGTGCAGCAGTATGCTAAGCTGCCTCATTTTACTGACTAACCTCCAGCTTATTACAATGGGAACTTTTTTCTTCACGTTTGAGTGTGTTTAAAAAAGCAAACAAATAAAATGGTAGCTTTGTTGAGGCCTGAAATGTTTGTTATTGGGTTGAAAATTATTCATGATTCATCTTAGGCCTAGCTGCTTTAAGTCACTGACAGCCTTCTTGTAACATAAGTGGAAATTGAAATTACATGATAGAACTTGGAGGGTGTAAATCATTTAGTTCAGGAAGAGACAACATTTGGTGTTCTTTGGGGTCCAACTAATTCTAATAAAACAGGAATTGGGCAAAAACGTGAGCCACATCTGTCGACTGCTGCAGCAATTATAACACCCCTATCCGGTGTGTATGCAGCTTCCTGGCAGCAGCTCTTCCTCATCACTGTGTTGAAATTTTCTGCTCCAGTTTGAGTGAGGTTCTTTAATTAAATCATTAAAAAGCACGGCATTTGCACAATATGCTCCACTGCCTTCATTACAAAGCACAATCACCCGTAATTTATTCGCTCTCAATGAGAAAGTAGTGGATTCTTCAGTTTTCATGTTTGTGGTGATTCATTTTGGTTTTATTGTCTTTCTAGGCCCAGTATTACTAAATAAGGAAGACTTATATTGCAGGTCATTTGGGAACATCTGCTGGTAACCTTCCAACAAGATGTGACCAGCACCAGTTTTAGGAAAGTAACAAACTTTGTAGGAAAACCAGAGAAGCTAAAATGTGTTACAGTTTGCAATAATCTTAATCAAAATAAAAATGATATTGTATAAAATGTGTGCTAATTTGTTAATGCTATCAATACATAATGAAATTGCTATTTAAGAAAATGTATGCAGAGGTGCTGATAAATATGATAATATATAAGTAATGCCTTAACTGAGGTCTGTTTAATGTTATTAGATGAACCACATCCTCTGATAGAACTCCTTTAAGGCAGGCGATAAACCAGTAATAAACCAGGTGAATGTGTTGTATTGCTGAGCGCAGCATGTAGACAGTGCTTTCCCCTTTGTCCCTCCAAGCTCCGCATATGTGCTGGGCCGGATTTATGGAGTGTGGCTGTTTCGACTTCATGCTCCAGTGGTCAAAATCCCTGCTTACTCATGATGTGTTCGTGGACCCACAGGACACCACGCTATCACCAGCGCCGCACGCCTCGGCCTCTGAAGCCTGGAAATGGGCTTGTGGTAATGACCTGAGCCACAGCGCTGCACATGGGAGAGCCGTGTCAAGAGAAGCTACACTCATCGTCTCGTGGTGAGGTTTCTGGGGTTTGTTATGAAGCCCGATTTTTATGGTTCAGGAATTTGAGCAGAAAATCAAACAGACCTTATTTCTCATAGAACCTTTAACTTTATATTCCCTAAAATTTATACTAGGTTGTTCTTTATGTACCTTTCTGATAGTTGGAAGAAATCAATTGGAAAATAAATGGAATAGACACATAGTGTGTCTATTGTAAATTGTACTGAAATTATGTTTTAGAGGTGCAATATCTATTTTTTCTGTTGTACTTTCCGCAGCCTGTCTCCATGGAGATGTTATTGCTTTACCTAGAATTGTATGGCAAATGATCTATCTCCATGGAGGCAAGCATGAGAGTTACAGGTCAAGCAGACCACTTTTTGAGCAATAAAATACATAAAACTGAATAAATGCAGGATAGATATGTGGAACATTTCAGGCATAGCATTATAATTTCCATGGAGATATGTGGGTAGCAAACCTCCACTGCCCCCACCACCACCAGACAAGTTACACAGTGTACCTTTAATCAGTTTAAGTCAAATTCTATTACAGGTGTAGACTAAACTTGAAATGCCCTACATAATTAGCAGTTGATGACAGAAGTGAAATATTTTCAACAATTTAACAAGTTGGAATCACTAATTAACTTAAAATTTCAAAATAAATATGAATCTCTTCATTGCTTTCATAACCTGAACTTGTTTCACCTTATCTCTTGGCCTGTCTTTATTCACAGCAGTAACACTGTGTGAACCTGAGCAGCCATGCGTCAGACTGGCTCCTCGCAACCCCTCCTCCCTCCTGCTCTGTCAAGGTAAAAAAGCGTTTCAGTGTTGTTTTGTGTGTCAAACCAAATCACCCTGTGCTCTCACCGGGAACACTGATGTTTGATTTCCTAAATAGTTGGTGTCAGAGGTAGAGAGTGCAGACAAAGCGCAGATGATTCCAACTTTATTCACCAGCTGCACCTCAGGGCTTCGATACAAGGTTTACAAGTCATAAACAGCTGTACTGAAATCCTCATAGTCTCTGCAGTACTTCACATTATGGCTGCTGTTAATGTAATGTGCTTCAGAAATAAGCAGCATGTATGCCTTCTCAATTTGCCCTCAGATTTTACAGTGCACTACAAGGGGATGCTTAAGGCCAAAGTTACGTCTTAACCTAATATGTATATACCATGTGTTTAAATATATTATAGTGCAATGTCAGCTAACTTACTCAATTTCCATAAGAGGGCACTCACAGATAAGACACTATGTACTTTCACATTCT